GGCCTCATTCATGCGCTGGGAGTGCCGCACTTTCGCTAAAACCACGAACTTGTTTGAGATGATATGTCCTTGTACGTCCGAAACGAAACCCGAAACCATTTGATTATAAGCCTCGAGACTTCGGAAAGACTTAAATTGCTTTTGCGTGTAGAAGCTAGTTTCGAGAACCAAATAACAAAGAAGATCAGTAGATTCTACTGGTGGAAGGCAGTCTGGCTCGAAGCTTTTCCCCTCTATCAAAACAGGATCGATTCCAATAGTTGAGATTTTCTGCAGATAACGCTCTCTGACTTTTATATCCAGCTTTTTGGCGTAATCCGAAATTGGGACGGGAATTACATCGTCTGGATCACACAAAGAAATAATATTTTCTTCACTAGAAATCATTCTTTTAGGTAGTAAAACTTACAGGAATTATAATTTTGGACTGTGTTTACATATGTTTGGAAGTGGATCACGTGACTCAGATGTGCACCAACATGGCGGGAATATATTCCGTGACGTCACGTGAAAACGATCTATAGGATCAAAATAATAGAAATAGAATGCTATTGACCGTTCTGCACCCGCCGTCCGTAAGACATAAACATATAACAAGGGAGATCAACGGGCTTTCTCGACCTATTATTTCCACCCTATAACTATGTTGCAAATAAATCCACCCTTCTTTTTTTTTAAATATTGTAAATATTGACTGATTCTAAAGGACTTTTAATCTTAGAAACTGCAGACCTGATTTGATGTTAATTCAGAGTCCTCTCCACTGAACGGAACAATAGAGACTTCGACTTGTGCTCCGTTAATGGTATGTGTTCTGGTTTGTGTTCTGAGTGCCACATCTTTAGCAACTGCCAAGACCGAAAAAGAAATTGTCAGCTGTCATTGCAAAAACGTATTTAAAACTTCATGATCTATAAATGAAAGGAAAGAGTCCAGGAGAGCTGCGTGATTAGGGGAAATTAATTCAGTGCTTTAAAGAGAGAGGCATATAACAAATGAGCTGTTTTGAATCCAATAATCAAAGGTGTAAATGAGTGTGGGGTGTTCTTTTGCATTTGCCCGTTTGCACGATGGCGTCATTTTACTGCTACTACCACAATCCGTCAGGGAATTGCTTTCTTGTGGAAATTAGGGATTTTGTTATTTAAACCTCACTGGACTGATAACCAGATTTAAATATGAAAGAATAAACGAAATGAATCCTGGTCTTAGTAGTAAAAAGATGTCAACGCGCAAATAGCCTATTCTGCATCTTTGTGGCTTCAACAAGCCTTCGAATTTTGTTTTTTTCTTACAACCAGCTATGCAATATGTCTTTATTTCGGCTGAAAAGCAAAAGGGAAATTTGTTCTTTGAAATTTAAAAATCGTGTGAGGTTGTGAAGTTATGCATATCAGTTTGAGCTTGTTACTGCTTTAATAATTCGAAGAGGACAAAATTGTTGTTTCTGGAAATATCTGAATGTCGTGACGGTTCATTAAGTATCATGCCTAAAATGTTTTGCATATTCCACAACTTCTTTCGGCTCTATTATTTAAATTGGCTTTTTTACCTTTGGACTTTTGTTTAGATCACGTGTATGCTGGAGGATGTTTTTTTCCTTTGTCAAGTTTTAAAATGTGTTTATATGCGTCAATAAGGTTATTTTATGAAAGGAACAGTTGTTTTCTCTGCAGGCAGATAAATATAAACCTAAAATACGTAGGTTGGAACTGAAGCATAAGGGACTAACCACAGAGACTGTGAATTCTTGGAATTGAAAAGGTATCGTCAAGCAGACGACAATGAATAGAGTAAATTGTCATACGTCTTCTCAAACGGGTGTTTCAAATACTAAGAAAATTCAAGAACATACACATTTTGAAGCACTAAGGAAGGAAAATAACCAGTAACGTACAAAAATGTGTCGTGCAAATTTGTTTAGGAATAAAACGCTGAGAAGTGAAACCGGAAGCCAACGAAAAAGAAGGAAAGCTAGCAGTTTGATGCTGTCTCAATATCCTTGTTTGCAAAAGAAGAAAGTTTTACTGTTTGATGATACACCATCCTCCCAAAAATTAAGTGAAGAGTGTAGATACGTTAAAGAATTTACCTTCCTGGTCTTCAAATGTAATGATGGACTCTTCATCATTGATCTGTTCGATGGAACTGATGTCTCCACCGCCAGACTGCTTGCGAGATTGGAAGTAAATTTCTAATTCTTTCTTTGAAATTGCCTTTCCTGTAACTCGAACGTAAATCCGGCCTTCATCCATCTTTACGGCAGTTTATTTCCTCCTTCAGCCGAGCATACTTTAGTCTCTTCCGCGCACCACAAGAAAGTGAAAGTTAGTCGGCGCCAGGAGATCCTGGGACTGAGTTCTTGTTGTAAATTTAAATCATTTTTCAGCAAGAGGGGAAGGGTGGTTCACATTTTCTATCACTGTTTTTTTTTTCTTTGTATCAAATAAGCTTGAATGGATCAATATTCTGGTTGCGAAAGTATATTGTTTTTTCATATATGGTAAGAACCATCCGAACCGTTACTCAAGAATAGTGTGTAGATTAAGAAACAAGACTTTTCATTCTCTCCAGCCCACCCTATTGGGCAATTAATTAACAGAATATTTCAGCAAACAAAGCGGGCTTTCCAAGAAAACGATAAAATCATATGAAAAAGAATTCAAAGAATAACAGTGTAAAGAAAACAAAATATTCCTTCGCTTCTGTTCGCTTGCCATAAAGCTGAAAGGTGTTTATTTTTTCCCCTTTAAAGGAGGGGTGATAGAGAAGAAGTTGACTCTGTTCGCATGTTGAAAACGAACCCATTACGAGGAGTCAGAGGGCCCTACGAGTAATTTGCGCGTGTGGCAGTTAATACTTTTCTTTCCTCTGCAAAGCCTCCCTCTGTTCCAATTAAGGTAGCTCGACTGTATCCTTCACAGAGTACACCTCCCAAGTTTGAGTATTCATTAAGTCGTCATTTAAATACAACGATATCGGAAAAAGATTACCACTGACAGCAGTATTATATTAAGATGAAAATTTGTTATGATCTGTGATTTATCATTAACGTGACATCACTGTGTTTATTTTTTCTTGCCTTCGTCTTTCTCGGAATTGGGATTTTTTTTAACGTTACTGAACGTCTAGTCGAAGTAGAACTGTATGATAGTAATACACAAAATTCTTAGATTCTGGGCAGGCGGTTTGAGCATCATGGGCGGTATTCAAAATCTGATCATTTGTGTCAAGATGGCGTGGAGTGAACATCTCGCAGGAAGCGACTGCAGAGACGAATATTCGTTAAATACGCTGTAGAAATCAGCGATTTGCCTTTATTTTATTCCAGAGACATCTGTAAAAACGCAGGCTATCGAATTATCGGGCAAAAACAGTGTCATTCCGTTAATAAGTGTATTTTGTTCGATATCACTCGCATGCAGTCGGTAAATCCAAGAATTGCTGCTTTGTTCTATGCTTCAGTCATGAAAGTACTAAAGGTAAGACGTGTGGTTCGCCGGAAAAAATGATTTCATCGTCAGATTAGTGCAAGTGGAACTACGAGGTACTAGGACGATTTCATCATTATTAGCAAGATGAATTTAAGCTTAATTTGGCTTGAAAATCTTGTAAGATTGTGTATGCTTCCTTCTGACAAGATAGCCCTAAAACAGTTGCCAGGTACTATAAGAGAACTTTAGCGGGTCAGCTTTACGGGGATTTAGGTCTCTGTTGGCACCCTGTTTGCATTTGTTATTTGTTTTACCATCTGTATTTCTCAGACATGAAGTAAATGAAGAGTAAATAAAGATATCAATACATGTACAGTGGGTTGTATCCTATTTATAAATAATTTTGAGCACTACTTTCTTCAGGGATCTTTAGTCTTAAATAAAAACTGAGCTAATGAAGAAATACTGCAAACTAGTATCCTTGCCTTCTATATTGGTATGAGTCATAGAATGTAAGGTTTGAAATTGAAAATGGCATTCAGCATTATTTGTGATTACTAATTATCCTCTTACAGTCAAGAAAATTATGTTACACGAATTGAGCCTAGGAGACATTCATAGTTTTTGCCTTTATTCTTTTTATATGAATGATTGTATCAGTATGTAAACACATGTCATCGCATATTTTTTGTATGATAATATAATTTCTTTAATTCAAAATGTGAAAATCTTATCTGTGTTTACAAATCTACTGTAATCAGGGGAAACACGCAGGGAGACCCCTTTCCTGTCTTGTGTCCCCCCCCCCCCCCCACCCCCCCCCCCCCCTTCAATTACTTTTGTTTAATTCAAATGTTGTGTCACAGGTGTTATTTAGGTGCAAACTTTTGGGTAAATGTATTCACATTTTATTATATTGGCATGGTGATTAGTATTTGAGTGCTGTCATTTTATAGTGACGGATGTTATTTTTCCTTCCATGTTGTTGATATACCGTAAACTTCCGAAAATAAGCCCCTCCATGTATAAGCCCCCCAAAATGGTAACGCAAAAAACCCTTCGTTAAATCGCCCCTCCGAATATAAGCCCCCCGGGGGGCTTGTACTTGGGATTTGCCCTCAAATACAAAGTAAAACAAAGCAAAAATGGTAAATTTCCTTCCCACTACAAACTAGCCCAATCGATTTTGAAACGCAAATTTCCCCCTGTACATAAGCCCCTCCGAATATAGGCCCCTCAAAAAGGGCCTTTGAAAAATATAAGCCCCGGGGCTTATTTTCGGAATTTTACGGTACTTCAGTCTTTTGGGTTAGCAATTGTTACTGTGGTGGATCCTAATAGTACCCCCTTTTTTCCCACTTTGGATATCTTGTAGTTAATTTTTTATCTTAGGTAAATTCTTTTTTCTTTTGTTTCAACCCCATTTGCACACATTAAAATACCCATTCATTTGTCATAAATTAACGATAATGTTACTCTTTTGCCCATTCCATTCTGATGACGAGTTCTGTGCTCTTCTACCCGAAGAAAAAGCAGGAATATTCCATTGAATAGAATCAAAGTGCCAGCTTGGTGGCTTCTTCATGACTCTACTCATGCATTTCTCTCACCACTTTTTTTCATAAAGGGTAGCTGTTTTTAAAATGCTCAGGGTTTTAACTGTATTTAAAGTTAATGTCTTATCTTTGACGAAAAAATATTCAAGTGCTTTCATTATACTCTCAGCGGCTTCACATGCATCACATTATCATTTTACTTGGTGTAATTTGTTTGTTTTTAATCAGACTTCAATAGACCATTTTTCATTCATTTGTTATGTGCAATCGTCGACAGGCTTCATGCTTCTGTTTATAACCGATGAACTATTTTGTAATTAACTTGTGATTACAAGAGTGACACTTCCAGTGACATGTCACGTCTGTGCGAGGCCACATTTTGTTATGACAACATGTCGGTTTTAATTCGAAAAAACTATTTCAAAAAGTGGGGAGCGTTTCCACCTTGCCGTAGATCTCTGTAAAACACTTAACACTAGTTCCTGTCGTCAATGAGCACTATGGTAGAAATTACAGCTCTCGAAACGACGGGTTCAAATTTCATGCTCGTGGAGGACGAATCTTCGTGCTCCGTGTTTAAGATTGTAATGAGGAATGTTGATTTTTTTTCCTCACAGAAAAACCCTAAATAAGTATAAGTTTATGTAATTGTGGATAAATTGCTCAGAAAAGAACTATGTCTATCGAAATATAAAGCATATAACCTGGGAAATTTCTCGACCTTCGCCGCCATCTTGAAAATTCTACATCTACAATGCATCGCAATCCTAGTGCAAACACCGCCTGGATTCTGGGACTACATTACGGCTTTATGATGATGGCTGGATTGGTAAAAATATATTCCATATAAAACAAATGCAAAAATCTACGCGTCTTCGTCGTCATCTGACGCGGAATAGCCCACTTCACAGTTGTAGATGGAAACGAGGATAGAGTTGACCTTCTTTGCAAAATTCAACCTTTCCTGATTTGTTATGTAAAATCATGTTGTTCTTATTTATGCTAACTAGCATTTTTCGAGTATAATCTCAATAAGAAAACAAAGAAGGTTTGTATCAAAACAAGGTCATTCTCAGCCTCGCATTCACTGTCTCGAAGGCTAAGATACTAAGCCAACAACTGTAAAATGATCTATTTGAGAAGTGCAGCTTCTTTAATTCTAAGTCGCCATTTCTAGTTTTCGGCATTCTCGTCCCCAGAGCTACTCGTTTTTATCACATGGTCATTACTGACTGCGCATAATCAGTAATAAATCCTCCGGCGAACACGGCTGAAAATACATTATCATACAAATTTTTAGTTTATTACTGCACTTTTCAAAAACAAGCGAACGCTGTATAAGTTCTAAAGCCAACTGACGTTTGCGTTTCTCGCTACCGTCAATCATCTTAGCGGACTTCTTAAGTCACAGACGTTTACTTCAATGAGTTCAAAAGGTCATGGTTTGTGATTTGTGATTGGTGGATTTCGGTCCATTTTGTGTGTTTCTGTGTTTCAAGGTTTGATGCTCCTGATCGTAATTATGATTGACTACAGCAAAAAAAAAACAGCGGCATTTGAAATTCAGTGTTCGCGTGTTTTTGAAAAGCGTAGTAAGTTTCACACGTTCCCTTGTTTCTGGGTTACAATTAAATCGTGATAAACATTTGAGATTGACTTTGAGATTTGCAAATTGTATTATCAGAAAATAATGTGATAAACTGTGATTACATTAATAAAAGTATTACTGCAATTCCTACAACAAAACCAGGCTTACATAAAGTACAGACGGAAATTTCCTAAATGGACCTTTCATAAAGACGACTTACAATTTAGAGTTGTGAATAAAATACTGTATTTTTCAGGACCAAACCCAAGTTTACGTATTTTTCTAACCCTAATCCTAAACACACCTCCTTCAAAAATAAGAACCGCATTAATTGAAAACCTACTTGGGCTAACTTGCCAAAAACTACCCAAAATACAAAAACCTTTTTTTGACAGATTTCATAGAATGTTGATTCTCAAATGCAGATTTTGCGTCTGCGCCATTCAACATCGCTCCGGAATAAAATACTGAAAATTAACTTATTATACAAATTCCGAGGGATACGCACCAGCAACTTTCGAGCTCACGTAAAAGTAACAAGATAATCAGGATAACACTGGCTATCATAAAACACAACAAAAATTTTTGGATTTCCAGGACCATCTACAACACTGTCGTATGCATCTGTGGCGTCGCTTCCCTTGGCTGGGGGAGTAATCATCCCTTGACGTCCAGCCGCGTATTCGCCCACTAGAACACGGGCAAGGTACATGTAGCGGTTTCCGTTTCCATCAGGTGGAGAGTATTTGGATTGAGTAGAGTAGGAGGCATCTCGGGCAAAATATACTCCATTCCCATACATAGTAGCTGAAAAATTGAGTTTAATCATTCATGTCAACATAAATTGTACAATTACACTTCCTTCCCAGAATAGTAACTGTTTATTTCCTGTCAACTGTGTTCTCGAACTTGTTGTGTTCTCGTTGCAAAATGGAAGGAGGAGTATGTGCTGCTCAGTTTGGAAAGACCTGGAGCAAAAAATGCACTTTTAGTTTATCGGTTGATTTTTCTTGCGTGGCGGATTTGAATGGCTTAGATATAGTGTCCATTTTTTAACTTAAAAAGGACAGTTTCCCTATTTTTAAGGATAGCCCTATGCGTAACCTTCAAAATTAATTCTTAGCTGGAAAAGTTTTCAAAAATTAAAGGATATTAGCCCCCCTGTCTATATATTGGATAACCGACGAGCTATGAATTAACACAAAAATGCCGGATAGCAAGCGCGGAAAGAGTTATTGATAGCAGCAAGCCATAATTCTTGAAAACAAAGAATATAACTGTCCACCTTAACGTAATGTTTCTTTTATAATTTGTGCTTGTTGCTCCTCTCTGTTTCTCAAGGGATAGTTTTGTAACGAACTCCACTTGGAATTTTTTCCCATCGCTTCTTCCGTTGCAAAAAAAAAATGCAGCAGTTTTTGATCTTATACATGCAGCTTATCTCAAAATTAATCGAGCCTTACCATAGCATACGAAGCCCTGACACATCAATAGTTAACATTCCTCATAAAAACGCGGTGGGCTCGTCGAAACACTAGCCTTTGTAATTACAAATTCGTGCAACGACTTTTATCATTCCAGCATCTTTCTCAAATACCCTGCCTTTAAACGTATTCTCACGCTTATCGAGATCTCCCGTAAAATAAATGATAATAATGATAACCATAACGATGAAAATAAAAAAAATGATGGTGATAACGCCGATGATAATAATAATTATAATAGTAAGACGCCTACGCTTACCGTTCTTCCCACAATAGCTTCTGTTAAAACCAAACTTGTTGATACTGGAGCAGCTGCCTTGAGCAGTACCATGAAAGAGAAATTTTTCATTGGCGCCATTTCTCTGTTCCATTTGATCCTTTTTCACCATGTACGCGCGGTAGAGCCCAGGGTTCTGCACTCTTTCTATCTTGGTGATGTTAACTGAAGCCGTTTTTTTAATTTCGTCTGCTACTCGATTGTACTCGGTCGGATTGCTGGCGGGATCAAGCGCGACCAAGTGAACTGCTTTCTCTTTACCTGAGCTGTCCTTTGGCTGTACGCACCAATCATTAGGTAACAGAATGCCTGTTTAATAATGTCAGAAGTAAAGGAAACATTCACCATAGACACATTTTCCATGTATTGAGCAACACGTCAAATAAAGATAATGAATACGTTTTAATTATTTCTTAAAAGAGGACTTCAGGCATAGTTTACTTTACCTTTCCCTATTTCCTTTCTCACGACAATTCTTTTTTCTCCATCTTCTAGACAGGTCTCTTCCATGAACCTGAACACAATCTCACATCTGGCATCGTCAATTACAAAAATAACAGATTCTTGGCCCTCCTCATGGGCACTTTCTATTCTGTAATTAGATGTAGGGTCATAGGGTTCCCATCCGTCATCATCGTCATCAGAGTAGTACCACTGAACGGTCTTGCAAACAAGTCCTTCAACATCTCTGCAATACTCTTCCTCTATTTTCTCGTTCAAGATGTCGTGAATTGCAGTGGCAACATCTAAGACATCTTCTGCGTAACCTCGAATAGATATACGACCAATTGGTTCTTCTATATTTATATCGGTGCCATGTTTTCCTCTTAAATTAATTATTTTCCCTTTCTGTTCCTCAGAGAGGTTGCTGATAGCATCCTTTTCAATAACTTTGGTAGTGACTTGATCAGCCAGATATTTGTGAATTTCTTTAACAGCTCTCGTGACGTCTTGCTTGGTTCCTGCAAATACTTCCAAATAAGCTTCAGCCCTCTCGCTACTACTTTTCCTGATGGAGGGGTGTAAAGGATTAGGTGAGGCGTCTTTGCCTGATCTAAACCAACCAAAAAGCTTGGAGAACATGCCTGTCCAACCTCCGGATGAGGAGACGCATGCCTCCATCGCAGCACGGAAGTCCTGAAACATGTGCTCTTGAAAAATCACAATGCGAATGAAATGAAGTGAAGCTGGCTGTTCTTGAGCAAATTTCGCAATGGCTGCTAACATCTCTTGAGCTGCTTCTTTTACACCGACTCGCACATTACCAGTTCCGACAGCTGGGAAAGATATTGAAGTCAACCCGTTCGATTCGGCTACTTTCAAGCAGTTCGTGATACAACTTTTAACGGAAGCCATGTTCAGCTTTTCTGGCACCATGTGGTATATGTTTCGAGACTGCAGTTTTCCTGCTCCAGTAACCGCGATAGAACCTGGTGTCTGAACCCCCAGAGCCGAACATTCTGTTTGAATACTTGGTCCACCAGCACTGACAATGGCCTTTCCAACGCCGCTATTTAGTGAAATATTTAAGTTTGTGTTTGACAAAGTAACGATTGCGTCAGTTACCTCTTTGGTAATGTTACCAATCTCTGCTTGGACCGTAACGCTACCTAAGGCAATTTCGGGTCTAAATGGATCCAGTTCTTCCACAGAGACATCAAGAGAGTCACAACCGCTAGTTGTACCACCAGAATGAACCGTTGTCGCGGCTCCCCCGCGCGACCCACGACGTTTTTTCTTTCCACTTTTCGGTACCTGCTGGGGTTGTTTTCGTTTGCGACTTTGCAACTCAGTCTGAAAGGCTTGTACAGTCGGCAAATCTTTGTCATAAACGACCAAGTGGACCTCCTTCACAGTGCTCGTTAGATTCTTCTTACTGAATGCCAACACTCCTTCGAAGGATGCGGTTGCCACCCGATCATGAGGAAACTTGAGATTTCCGGTGCCAATAGCAGGTATGGCAATACTTGTAAGGCTTCTCTTGTGAGCTTCATGAAGACTTTTCTTTAAAACATCACGTAAAACCTGCAAAAAATAGATTTGTGTCATCATTGTCGAGCTTTGTCCTTGCTAACATTGGTCTGGAATTAGAGTCAGTTCAGGGTCTTGAATATAGCAAACAATCACAGAGTTGACAGAACGCAAGAGAAATACACTTAAGGTACAACAAAAACAAGCACGGATAGGAAAAACTGAATAAAAGCCAAAAATTTGAAAACGGACCGCTTTCAGGTTAAGCTTAGACCTCTCTCAATTTGCACAATGCAGCTAACGAGCTTGGGTATGAACGTACCGCGACCCTTTAAGAATTTCGGAAATTCATCCCCTCTAAGAACTTCATTAATGGGAGAGTAGATTTGAGCCAAATGGCGTATTCTATGCGTTAGTTCCATAAGGTACCTTTTCACCCTTTCCATTTTCCCAACCAGAACAGGAACTGTGAAAAACATGCTTGCACTTAAGGTTCCCTCCAGTGGTAACAACAATGCCACCAGTCTGCACTTCGCCTATAGCCTTACATTCCTGTTGTAGAGTGGGGCCTGCAGCCGTACTCAAAGCTACAGCACTAGGGTTTCTACTAAGGTCTAGGTCTGTTGACGTGGAGTTCACGATCGCGTCAACCTGTGGAGAAAACATAAGCTATAAAGAAGGACAGCACTTTCAGTAAGAACCGAGATTTATCAGACTTCAAAGTCCTTTCAAAGGTAAAAGAGTTAAGGGACAGGTTGTTACGTCGACTTTCAGCTAATACAGCCAAAACAAAGGGAGTCGGGTATACTCTCTTGCACTATTGTTGCCGTTCATTGACTTTGATTTAACATTGCATAATTCTAGCTTGTCTGGAAGTTACCTGCATGTCAAACCGAAGAACAGAACCAAAACTAGTTGCACACTCATAGACAGAGGAAAAAACTAGGTGTAACATGCCTGTTCATGGGCCATATTCCCAACCACAAGAGCCACTTTAATACCCTCTGGAGTAGTCACTTCATTCAGTCCATCTGTAGCATCCGATGGTGGTGGTGCTATATGAACTGTTTTTCTTCTATCTTTAGCTTCTTTTTTGGCAGCTCCTTTTGATGTGATTTTTCCTCTTGAGGAACCACGCGAAAAACAAGGATCTTGTCCAAATTTGGAAGCCATCTCAGTAACAAATGCTGTGACCACTGCATCGTCGGTGCTTGTGAACTGGATCTCAGACAAATAGCAGCTTGGACTTTCTTCACAAAACTGTACTGTTGCATCAACCATAATCTTAGCGCACAAGTCGCGTGGGAATTCAAAGGCACCAGTACTTATGGCAGGTAACGCTATTGATTTAAATTGTCTTGCGGCATCTAAGGCATTGGACACTGCATAGCTCAGGTATTTCTCTTCCTTTGGTGTTTTGCCCATCGCTTTTTCTCGCGTGGCCTCCTTTCTCCAAGATGGACCAACTGCATGAACTACTTTCTTGAAAGGCAACTTTCCGGCAGAAGTAACGACAACTTGCCCCTCCAAAACAGATCCTTGCTGGATGATAAAATCATCGCACTCATGCTGGATAGCTTCTCCACCAGCATCAAGAATGGCTTTAGAAACACCACTCAAGTGCTGGAGTTTCGTATTGGCTGCATTAACGATGACGTCTACGTTCCGATCACATATGTTGTCTTTGAAAACCTTGATCATTTTACCTTGTGGAGTCAGGAAAGTACACTCGCTCTCTTTCTCGATTCTCTCGTCATCTTTTTCTTCTTCCATAACGTCCTTCGAGGAAGCATCTTTCTCCCCGTCAAAGAACTCGATTACGCAATTATTTTCATTTTCAAGAAGGTTCAGCATTTTCCTCCCATTGTTTCGATTAAGCACTCTCCGCATCCCTGGTTTGTCGATAGGAACCTTTTGGCTTTCGACTTGTGAGGCTAGATTGTAAACATTCTCCATGGCCTTTTTAACTCCTTCGTTTGTTCCGGTGACGACAACTTCCTCGTCCTCAGCAATCCCCTTTATAACTGTACAGTGTTTGTTCAACTCCTCCTGGATAATCCGAAGCTCGTGTTCTTGGTACTTTGAGAGAAACCTTCTGCTGCCTCTTGGAAACTCCAATACCTCGCTAACAATGGTGTTCTCGTTCAAAAAGTCCTTGACGCTTCTTAGTGCCGTTGTAACATCCTCCCTTCTACCCGTCATGCATAATTTGTTGCTGTTTTCGTCAAATTTGATACCTAAAATGGAATTTGCGGTCAGGTCATCTCTAAACGAGCGCCATTTTTCACTTTTTTCAAGCTGCACTTGACCGTCATCTAAGACGATGCTTTCTTCAACGATGGTCGTCTGCACTAAACGCGACGCTTTATGGGCAGTTTCAGAGTTCATACCAATTACCCTCAAAGCGCATGGACCCTCTTCTTCATCACCATGGAAAGTCGCAAGTGCTTGCAAATTATTGGCTGTGAATTGTTTTTGTATGAACAACTGGCAAGGTCTCCTCCTTAGTACCTCTACTGCATTTTGAGACACTTCACAGCTGACCTCCTTCATGTTTGCAACTGCTTCCCAAATATCAGCTGATGCTTTATGAACAACTGCAGGAGGACCCCAAATGCAAACTTGACCTTTGTCAAGAAGTATGTCCACTTTTGTATTTTCGTGATGAACTTCGAGTTCTTTGTCAAAATCTAGGTCAGCTAAAAACTTAAGACGTTCTTTAGGAATTTCTTTTACAACTGTCGATACTTTAGATGCCTCCACTGCTAACGTACTCTCGATTTCTGTCTTCAGCTGCTTCAATCTCTCCAAAAGAGTCTCTGCATTTTGCAGTATCCCCGTTAGGACGATTTTGCACTGCTCATTCAGGTACTGAATTTTTACGTCATCCTCCATGGAACTCACAAGTTCCTTGAACTGTTTGGTAAGAGTTTGCCAAGCATCTGGTGTGACTTGTACGGAGTATGTCTGAAACTCTGCTAGGAAAGAAGTAATTGCTTCGGAAGCTTCTTCGAATCGATCTGCGTCCATTGATGTGCCATCTACAGGTGCAAGAGTGATACTTTTTGATCCTTCTTCCCACTTGACTTCAACGCCATGTTTACGTTGGATGTGCTCCAAATCAGCTTCATGTCGTTCACAAATGAATTGCATGACTTGCATATCTACAGGTATCTCTTTCTCTTGCACACGGTCTTCAGTGACACACGCTGATTTAGAAAGGACTGGATTATGTCGTCTTAGTTCCAACAGCGCTCCGTTTAGAGTGTGACTTTTTGCTATGACTTTGTTCACAACTGTTAAAGAAAGAAAAATGCAACAACTTGATACTTTGGTCAACCGCGAGCAAAAAATCAATAACTAGCTATTTTAATAAGTTCTAAATAAGTTCTCTGGTTGTCCTCTAGATTAGGGGGCAGAATCGTTTTAGCTGAGGGACTACCATTATTCAAGTTGTCTTAGCTTGTTATAGGAACATCACACTACCCTGGGGATCTTCGAAGAAAACCAATGCCGAGCCTTCTGTCATATTGAGATCCACATTGTTGACACCACCGCCACCATTCTTGGGATTATCAAAGTAGTAGAAAATGGCGTCTCTTGTTGTGTTCTCCTTGTTCATACCCATCACCAGCACACAATGGCAAACAGGCACTTGCTCCATTGACAGGATTTTTTCTTCAAGTTTTCTTTCTGCAGCTTTCTGTTTAATGGATTCGTAGGCTAGAGAGAAGGAAAAATGTAATCAATATTGAACACCAAATTTAGAAGTCTTGCATATCTCAGACGCCTAAGCCAAGGATTTTTGCCTTACTAAGTTAATCATTAAGTTCTCTTTCTGACCATTATCAAATTAGATGTAAATGCTAATGGGGAAAATTATGAAATAATTTACTGTCACCTTTTCGTATTAGTTAAGTTCATTACAAACTATAAACCGGCACACGTGCGCGTTGTGAAAATATTTTTAGCAGGAACTAAATATTGAAGTTGTGCTAGCCATGGCTATATTTAGTTTCTATACCCCAGTTGCAATATTTACTTCGGAAAAACAAACAGTTTGCAATGGTTTGTGAAAATCTCCACAGCCACCTTTTTTCTTTCCAAAAAAGGCTGGCGGATAATAAATGAAAAAGTTGGAACAGACGTCAATTCCAACTATTACAGAACAAAGTGTTTATGAAAACCAATCGTAACTTACTATATGATTCTGCAAATGTAATAAGTGCACAGCCTTGCTCTCCAAATTCCACATGTAATACTTCCAGACCACTCACTACTTCCATGTACGAAGCCAGTGCATCTCGGGTGGTTGCTTCACTAAGTCCTTTGACGAGAAGCCTCTTAGTGTCAACTGGTATTTTTTTGGCCGGTTTTTGGATGGTGACGTGCAATTCTGCACCGTCAAGGGTAAGAACGCCTTTCTTCAGAACTCCTTGGGCACCTTTTGAATAAGCAGAGAGAAAGGGAGAAAAAAAGCAACGCTCCGGTGGTCTATACTAAATGAAGTGGTTTCTGAACAATACATACATAAAAAGCTGTTTCTTACAATGGGAATGGCATCATGTGTGAGACGTACGAGGCGTGTTCGTACCCATCCCCGTTGCTTAGTTCTGCGTCCAACTAAGCTTGGCAAATTAACAGAGCTTTTGTTTGTCCTAGTTAATATAAAAGAGTTATTACTACAACTACTTACCTAAGGAGCATTCATTGTTGACAGAAAGCATTTATAACGGTAGGATCATACAAAAAGGAATTAATTGGGATCTTTTCCTGACTTTTGGTGTAAGTGGTAAGGCCGAGAGAATAAAGTGTTGTGGGGAATGAGTCTGGGAACACAGCCTTTTGGTTAAGGGGTTCGTTTTTCGGTACGCTGTTATGGACGAGCAATAACCTAGATAGGATCCAGGGTAAGTTGGTATCTTGATTTCTACTTTACCATTCCCACTCACTTTCAGCTAAAAGAAACGTCACGACAGCACATCCCTTTTCAGTGACAATCTCCACGTCGCTTATCTCCCCTCCACCAGAACGCCGAGCGTTTTCAAAAAAGTTTATAATGGCATCTTTGGTTGTTGTTGAAGCAAGCCCGATCACTTCAATGGTACGCGATTCCTCCATTTTTTCCTCATCAGGTATACCAACTGTCGAGTTACGGCTTAATGCCACTGTTACCAAAGTTCCGTCAAGGGAATGCTGTTCTCGCTGTAACACCGTGGTAACAACTAAAATAGAGGAAAGTGAAGACAAATTTCAATGTCGAAATCCCGTCACAGTAACAATGGATCTTTTCTGGTTTTCTGGTACTTCGGCTACATAAAGATCAATCTTCTCGATTTTATTATGGTGTAGGTTTTCACCAAACTTTAATTCTACCCGGGAAAAAAATTCGGATTTTTGCTCTGTCGGTATGGCAAAGCGCAAGTCGCTGAAACAACGGCGTCTGAGACGAAACAGACAAGTTCCTTATTAAACAAGACACTATCGGAGCGTACTCTTGAGCGTCGTTGTATTACGCGTATTTGAGGACTTTTGTGTCAGGCACGTGTGAAGACTGGTTGAGTTGGGAGTAAAGGAGAAGTGGAGCCATAAAGCACGTTGTTTAGTATGTTATTAGCTCTTTGATAATTTGAATAAACCAGTTAAAACCATAGATTATTATATTAGATATATTGTAACAGAAGTGGATCTCGCTCTCAAAATTTAATAAGCTTATTAATCAATCAGCCAACCAATTATTCAGTCAATCAGTTGTGTGGCTTCATACTGATAGCGACAGATTCTAGCGCCACTAGATGTTGTCTAATACATATTGATAATATCCATACGTTTACTTTGTTTCTCTGAGTAGAAGCGTAGTTACAATAACCGAACGCCATCTCTAATCTTTTCAGGGTCTTGAAGGGGCTATGTCACAAGGATATTGCTGTGTTAGGTTAATAATGTACTAAAGTGCCTTTACATATACCCAAAATGCTCTGTTAGGGATATGAAGAAGATATCAAACAAATTTCATCAGGGAGCGTTAACCATTACAACATTTTTGGTGATTTTTTAAGTCTTTTCGGTCGTCTTTTGCACCGATGATATGGGTGGACATGGATTGCGACTGGAAAAAGTTGGGCAAGCTTTTTCAAGTTTCAATCCATGTCCATCCGTGTCATCGGTGCAAAAGACAACCGAAAACAGTCTCAATTCCTAAATATAGTCATGTAAATGACAATGCAAGACCACTATATAATTTTTCGGATTAGCTGATGCAAAGAAAGGTTTTAGATTTTCAAAAAGATAGCAAGTAGCTACAACCAGCTGCAAAGATGTTGAGACACTCCCACGAAAGAACGACCTTTCTTGCTTCAAATCGCTCCTGGTCACAGGTCTGTGAGATATAATACTGACCTCCCTCCTCTCTCCCATTCAAAGTTGTTCCTCCAAGTAATGAGTGTGGTCTTGTATTGCTAGCAACTTTGATAAGGAGTAGAGGGGGGATCACAAGCACAAGATCATGGAAGGGCCATTTATGCCAAAATAGGGTACAGTGTCTCAAGTACTTTTGCAACTGGTTGTAGCATGACAATGCTACTTTAAACAAATCTTACGGCCGCTTACCACTGGCGTCTTCAAATCTTACGAACGCTAAACCATTATCACGTTGGATTTCCACACTTTCTACGTATCCACCTCCAGATCGTCGCCTGTTTTCGAAGTAATTCCAAAGTGAGTCTTCAGTGGTTATTGGTGACAGGCCTATCACCATGATGGTCTTGCAATTATCAGGCATCTCTATACTGACATCAAGTGTAGCACCATCTAAAACGTGTTTTTCACGTTGGATAACTCGGTTTGCCACTAAAATAGGAGACACAGACACGGGAACTTACAACAGCTCCTTATAAGTAGAATACTGTTTTAAAAGTTACATTATAACTTGTGTCATCTATTTTGCTCCAATGCAAAAAAAAAAAAACAATTTCGATATATAAAAATCAAAACTTGTTTCCAAGACTTGGGAAATGAATCAAAGGAAATCAATTTGAGGTTCAGGGGTGATCATGAATAAGACATTTCTTTCGTTTTATTCCCTCAAGCCTTGCAGCCACGTGTAATAATTTTAATATTTTGAAATTGGTCTATTTCAAAGCCGGCAATTCCTTCGTTTCAGCAATAAGCTTTAAAGCAAGGCCCAGTGTGGGACCTAAAATTGCCTTAGTCGCGTAATTTGCCAAATTAAGTCAATTAGAGCACCAATTCTCTTTTCGTCAAGCAAAGATATCAATGCGCTGCCTTTTTATTTGGTGGAAGAGCAAGGGAAAACACGAGAAGCTGGGAAACTTCGTTTTCACTAGGACGCTTGGTACGTCATCTTTTTTTTTTTGCTTAGTTACGTAAGTAAAAGAAAAAATACCTTCTGATGACTCAAACTTGACCCGTGCTGTATTTTCAGTAATTTTCACCTCCTCTACTTGACCACCATCCGAACGTCTGGTGTTCTCAAAATAGTTCAACAGAGCATCTTCGGTTGTATTTTTGGAGATCCCACGGACTATCACAACACTGGACTGCAAAGAAATGTGAGTCGCAGTGAACAAAAAAACAGTTCAGTTTGTTTATTAACAGATTAAGTATATATAACAAGTATACATACAAGGTGGAAAAACAAGTCCCCTATAAAGTTAAACCGCCCAGTAAAGAAAATTAATTACTGAAATACCTCATATCAAATGTAAATCTAAGGCCATAAAGCAAAGGTAACTACCTCACTGACGCAAGAATTATTAATCAAATCCGTAGTTAAAGGAACAGTATCCCGTTACTGCACATGCACCAAACTTTGATTTTTGGACAGGATGTCGCGAAATCAAAAGATGCGAGGAGAGTACGAGAATCTTGAAAAATCCGTTTGCATCGCGCTTGGCCGGGTTCAATACGACACTAAAACTTCTCAGGATTATAGATCAATGATATATTGTTCCTGTTAAGTTTCGATTTGGGCAAAATCTGGATTTTTTGGCGTTACTTTTATTGCCGTTGGCCTTAAGACCAAAAGATTGGAAGCACTTTGGTGCCTATTGAAGGCTTATTTCTTCTGCTAGCTTCCATACAAGCTCAGATAATTGTGAAAGGAATACGCAGAAATGAAACAGCAACAATAAAGACTGTAGGAAAGAAATCGTTGAGACATTGATGTGACTGAGGAGATCTTGTGGAGGGGAGCTTCGTGAAGCAGAATGTTTTGCAACGACGCGTTAGTAAACTTTTAAATTAATCCCCCTACGGCCGACAAAATCGAACAAACAGGCGCTACATGTTTTGAAAAACTAGTGCCATGAAATCATAATACCATTTTTGACTAACCTTTGTGATGATTCATAGCGTTGAGATTGCATTTTTATTTATGTCTTTCAAACGTTTGAGGCTAGAACGCTAGCAAATCAGGCAGATATTACTGGACTTGGAGCGATTGACCTCTGACACGAGTTTCAAATTAGAAAATATGTTTTTAAAGCGAGCGGAACGAGATTTTCGGGTCGCGAGGCGGCCCAGCTAGCGATAAAACCGCGATGAGTCTTCGAACCGCGAGCCAAATTTTTATATAAGACGAAAGACTTCTTCGAAAGTCTAAAATATTACTTGAGAATGCAAACAACAAATCTCTGTCGGCGGTGCGGTCCGGAAGGAAATCTTGTCGGGTCAATTTGACAGTTCTATTGTCTTTTGAAGAAAAAACAGATGATGCTCGCGCGTGCGCATAATCGGGACACTGTCCCTTTAATTTCTGACTGCAGGTAAAAGCAAATAGGTAAACTGTGAGTCAACCTAAATCATTGGTAGTTCAAAGCACCTTCACCAATGGTTAGGCCAAGTAGCCAACCGTTATAGGTTAGACGATTCAATTTCTAAAACATCCAGGTGGCTTTCTTGAGGAAGAACCGAATAAGGAAATACATTAGAATCACTTACAAAAGGAATTTTCATTTTGTATAGTCACTTAAACTCCCAACTTATGCATCAAACCTTTAGTATAAGCACATATTCAAAATTCGTCTTCAGTGGATTCTGACCTGACTTGATGGCAAGTTCCGTTCGTCCTCATTGGGATGGCTTGAAACCTGAACTTGGGTTCCGTTAATGCAGTGTGTTCTGAGTGTTACATTTGTAGCTACTGTAGGGACAAGAAAATTATTGTTACCTGCCATTTTACGTACCACTAGTTCTCAAATGTGATCGTGTTTGTTTTTGTCCCTCATTATAAACAAACGCTTCTAAAACTCTCAGCGCATAAACTGAATTTGGACTAACCAAGTTAGCTACAATAGATGCAAATTTAAAGTACTTCCAATAAAAATTTTGCCTTACGATAATTTGGGCGTGGCTAAATAAGCAGAGGGGACGAAGAATACCATTTAAGAAATTACCTTCTGATGACTCAAACTTGACTTGCGCTGTATTTTCTGAGATTTTCACTTCCTCTACTGGCCCGCCACCTGAACGCCTGGTGTTCTCAAAATAGTTCAAAAGAGCATCTTCAGTTGTGTCCTTGGAAAGTCCGCGGATGAACACAACACGGGACTGAAAGCCAAAGCGAGTAAACAAGAAATGTAATCGAAAAAATATCCCTTAAACTTTGTTATACAATGTGTATGTAAATATATATATATATATATATATATTACGTCAATGCGAGGCGCCTGACACCAACAACAACAACAACAACAACAACAACAACAACAACAACAACACAAAAACACACAAAAATGATTCTAAATATCAAACCCTTCACTATACACAGGGGAGAAGATGCATATGGTTTTCAGTCATCAAGGGCATAGAAATCATAGGAATTCTGTTCAGTAAGTGGTACCTGGGGAAAGAAATCAATCCGTGACGTGAAAGTTGGAGTTTCTGATTTATAGTTAGTCTGCATGGGATAGTACAAGAATTAAAAATTGCAGTTGAGCATAATTCTGGTATAGGTTAAGATTTCCACGATCCCAGCGGTACTCCCCCTCCAACCTTCGATTCTTTGAGTACCCCGGGAATTTAGACGCGTTAGAAAACTAACTTCACTTCAGCTACCAAGGGCTAATCATTCATCCCTGGACGCTTTGTTTCTTCTTTCTAATCAAACAAACTGATTGTTACCGCCGTATCACGGTGGAAGCTTATTTTGGAAAAGAGATTACAGGGGCGAACCAATCTTTCCGACCTTTCAATTTTGCATTAAATACTTTTCATACCGAGCCATTCTTTAGATTCTCCACTTAAAACAAACAATTGTGTGTCACTAACTGACCTGATTTGATGGCAAGTTCTGCTCCCCAACGAACGGATGACGCGACACCTCAACTTGCGCTCCGTTTATGGTATGAGTCCCTAGTGTTACATTACTAGCAACTTCCGAAACAAAACAATAACAACAACAAGATCAAAATCTTACATCCTTCGTTTAAGGTGCATTAATAGTCTTTTTTCAGGTTATTCGGTTTCGCGCTTTGATGAAGCCCACCAGGCTAAGCATTTCAGATTGAATTGGCTTTTGGAAGTGCTGGTCTTTGAGAAGCAAGGAAAATTGTAGTACAGTACCAGGATAAAATTCAAACCCCTCGGATTAAGGAGAAGACCAACAACAAACGCAACCCGCGTATTGCGTCCACGGCGGGAGAGAAGCCCAGGTTACATTCTAGAATCATTGACGAAACGAGAAGACAGTGTCTGCAGCTCATGTCGTTAATAGCTGAGTTCCAACCACAATAACTGATACATAATGAAGGCGAATTTTTTTGTTATTATTATTGTATTGTGTTTGACAACTTTGGGGAACTACAATAAATGATACATAATGAAGGAACATATGTATGTTATTATTATAGTATTGTGTTTGACAACTTTGGGGAAAATGGGATATTTGTCAGCCCCTTTCTAGGCTCCTTGAAAAGGAGAGAAACGAGAGGGAGTTGAGACGAACAAAGCACCGTCTGATGATCTACCTGTCTCCCATTGCTAGCACGAGGGAATCATGTAAATGGTGTCACGCAATCTTTACTTCGGGACTCAACATCAAGGTACAAATCTAATTTATACGCTCAGACGACAGAAATAAAATGACGCTCAAATGACAGAAATAGACAACAAATTCAAGATCACACTGTAGAGTGAAATTAGACATAGAAAACTTAATTTCACGGTCATAATGGACGGAAATCTGATGAATTTTTGTAGCCCCATCGCGCAAGAATGGATGACGGCAGAAATCGTCGAATGAATTGTGGTCAATAGTCTGGCTACTCAAACCGTGGTTTAAGACCCTTTTAAGACTAAACTAGTGTACCATGGCCCACTTCTTAAATTATGAAACAAATGTTTTTAAAAGCTCAGTTATTGTTCAATGCAGGTATAATAAACGTCGAAAGTGAAACCGGACGCAAACGAAATATATGAAACCGAATAACTTGAATTTGCATATTATCACTTTTCATGCTTAACGAGTTTACAACGAATTATCAATATTAGCTGCCAATCTAGCTGGCAAGGATATGAATCTTGTTGCTGTAAAACATCAAGTTAAAGACAATAGATAACGTATGTTAAAAGCTTACTTTCCTGGTCTTCAAAAGTGATAATGTACTCTTCATTGTTGATTTGCTTAATCGAACAGATGTCTCCTCCACCAGACTGTTTACGAGACTGAAAATATATTTCTAATTCTTTCCTTGGAACTTTCTTTCCTATAACACGAACGTAAATCCGGCCTTCACCCATTTGAGCGACGGTTTATTTTTCGCTTTCAGTTGAACATTGTTTCCCTCTTCCGCACCACTAGAAACTGAAAACATGGGCTATTCGGAGAAAACATGTCAGGAAAGTACCGGAAAGACGTCACGGTGCAAAATATGACAGACCGAGGGGACGGGTGGCTTATCTTACGCCTTTTTTATTTTACTTTATTGTGTTTTTGTTATTTTTCTCGATGTGGTGTTACTTTTAAGTGGGATTATCGATATGATCCCTTTCCCAAAAATGGTTGCAAGATCTGAATGTTGAATGAACGCACTGAAGCCAAATGCCTATATTTCCGTTCTTTGATTCCACCCTTACTTGTGGCTGATATGCATTTTTCTGGGAAACAAACCGGGGCTTTCCCAGAAACCAAAACAACTGCTTGATCTAAAAATACTCGAATGAAGCCTTAAAATATAAGTTTATTATTCAGTCTTCAACAGCAGAGTGAATAGGATTATAATGGCATACGCACTGAAAACTGATGATTCTGCCTCAAGAAAAGTAATAGTTAAGAATCTTTCGCCTATCACAAAGCAGGAAGACATTATCATTCACTTTCAAAGAAGAGGCAATGGAGGAGGAGAAGTCGACTCTGTTCACATGTTGAACGAACGAGCCGCAATTGTCACATTCGAAAAATCAACAGGTAAGTTTGAACTATGGTTTTCTTCATACTCTGCATAATGTAGTTCCGTGCTATTGCCATTCACCTTCAAGTTTGTTTTCAGTTCGCGCGATGCAGTATTAACTTAGTTTAAATTAAGCGGATATGTACCTGGCACATTAAATAAATGGGAAGTATAGTGTACTAGAGTGCATTATATAGTTCGTCAGCTGTTTCGCAAACATTTTTTTCAACATACGTAGATATCGTTATGCCTTTGCTAAGGAAAAAAAAGGAAAGATAAATAAACCTTTCTTCTACAATACAAATGCCTAGATAACTTTAAACGGACTCCGTTCCGGGTGACAAAGTTAATATCAAAATCGGAGTGTTCTAGAAGATCAGTGAAATCATGAATTTCCAAAAGTATAAGGTGTACAAACCCACTTCTTTTTATTTCCATAGCATTCAAATACGGTCTTTTCTGTTCTGATTTAAATTGAAACTAATCGAATATAGAGACTACGACAGTGCGGAACAGCCTGCGCGCACGACTGGTTTCCGAAATATTGCGGAAAGTGAAAATGAAAGTGGCTGTTTTTTTTTTCCAAATGTCTTGTTTTCAAATAAAATGCATACGTGGGGCCTCACAGGGTGAAAATTCCGAGCAGAGGTGCAGTATTTCATTGCCTTGTATTTGTTCAACGGATTTGTAGTTTACTTTGGGAAGACTTGATTTTCGTGAGTCCGTTAATCAGAATGACCTAAAGTTAGTTAATTACCCATGTTATACTACTACATGAGAAATTTCTGCAATTTGATTGGCTTAGAGCAGTGGTATTTCAGCTTAATTTGAAATACCTAAATGTGACATTAAAAATCTTTTGATGGTAGTGGTATAAACAAATAATAGCATGATTTGTAGGCTGTGTATAAAAGTGGGACGGGGACAAGGGGACGGGGACATCGGGACGCGTGTGTGGGGACTTGGGACTTGGGGACGCGAGACGAGGGACTTGAGGGCATCAAGTATGGGACCCGGGGACGTGTGGGACGGGGACGCGGGGACGTCAAATACAGGGACGCAGGGGACGCGGGATGTGAATAATTGTTGCAAAAGTCGGAGGTAAATGCGATATCAGTCACTTTGGTGAAGGCAACCCACCCTGCCCTCCTTACAGTGTCCTTAGGGTTCCTCCATGCCTGTTTACGAAGCGAAGACTCGGCGAGGACCCCCTGCATTGAAGAAAGTGAAACCGTTGTCCTGGACTTCTTGCTGAAGGAATATTGGAGGCCAAAGAAGGGTAGGGTGGGTTGCGGTCGCCAAGATTTATGTAGAGTAACAGCATTCGATTCCAAATAAATTTGAAATTATAAAGAAATATTTTGTGTAAGCATCATAAGGGGTCCAATGGGGTTTTGGAAGATGGAATCTAATGTTGACAATAAATAACACAGAGATATCGCATTTACCTCCGACGTTTGCAATAATTATTCACATCCCGCGTCCCCTGCGTCCCTGTATTTGACGTCCCCGCGTCACCGTCCCACACGTCCCCGCGTCCCACACTTGATGTCCTCAAGTCCCTCGTCTCGCGTCCCTAAGTCCCAAGTCCCCACACACGCGTCCCGATGTCCCCGTCCCCTTGTCCCCGTCCCAGTTTTATACACAGCCTGATTTGTACGTGATATTTGGCATCAATACCACTCGTGATATTTCAAAATTGTCCAAATTTCACTCGCCTAAAAAATTACGCATAGAAATTTCGAAATATCACTCGTGGTATTTACGCCAAATATCACTAACATCATGCCATTACCTATACAAATTAAAATGAAATATATCAAGCCACAAGCTACTTAAGTACTTAACGGTGCGGTATGGGGGTTCTGTAACATGGGAAAGGGCCCTTAATAACTACAGTAGAACCCGGTTGGGTAACTGGAACTCTGAGGGGAAACGAAAAACAGTTCGAGTTGGCGGGGAGTTCGAGTTTTCAGTGTAAACTTCAGTGAAAGTTTTATCAATGGAAAGGAAATTTAGTTCGAGTTAGCTGGGAATTCGAGTTATCTGAGTTCGAGAAATCGAGTATCTACTGTACTTCTGGCACCGAGCCTTACAATGGAATAACAAGCTATCGTGGTAAGCACGGTTAATTTCTGTTGCAGTCCCCCAGACAACTTGATGGGTTCCATGAGTAGAACCGACCGCCACAGTTTGTCGGTACCACGTTATTTAATTATTCCTCGAGCCCGAATGGGCTCTGAGTCAATAGCCCATGCTAGTTAAAGCTAGACTTTAACCCTTTTTTGCCACCAAAAAGCCCGCGCTTTTCGCTACTAGTGGGCTATAACATATAGCCTAGTAGTAGCTCAACCAATCAGAACGCAGGGTTAGGATTAGGATTAGGGTTAGGGTTAATGGTTAGGGTTAGGGTTAGACCACTTATAATAGACCACTAGTTAGATTTTACTAAATATGCTTAGTGGATAAGCGCATGTGCTTGGTGGGCACATATCAAGTACAGTAGAAACAATAACAAGATACACGGTTAAAACAAAATAGTGATCACTTCAGCTATAAATTCGCTGAAGACGGTGCACTCTACACAGTGTAGCTTTTATCTTGGCGTTGTATTTACTTCTCTGTTCAATCTGTTTAATAGCCCTAACCACGTTTATTCCTTTCTCAACAGTTGCCGAGTCCGTTTTAAAGAGGCAGCATGAGATACACGGCTCCCTGGTTACCGTTAAGTTGTATAGACCAATGCCAGATCAGGTAATCGAAATCAATCCTGAACTTCACGAAATAACTTTTATTTCTGTAGACGTGTCTTGCTACGATCGATTTTTACCGGCTCTTTTTTTAAAGATTATTTGCCATAGACAGCGCTAGACCAACACTAGAGTGACCTCGGCCAGTTTAGCCATACCTATTTGCTTCTCAGCCGTAATCACTTTTGTCCAATTTCATAGGTTTTTGGTAGAGTGTCTGGTCGCATTGATCCTAACACCTTAAATGCAAGTAATCACTCAATGAAAACCATTCTTCAACAAATTCAGGACGAAACAAAGGTCGAGTGGAAACAAATATTTGATGGATTCGTCGTCTCTGGTACCTTCGATCAAATTAAAGCTGTCAACGAGTTGGTGAAGAACAAACTGACAGAAAAGAAGCATGGAAAGAACGTTTTTTCTCCAAGCCTTTCTAGACATGTCAGTAGTTGTGACAAGGCTTCACCTGCTCCACCAGTTATGACACCTTCGACAGAGACGTTTCGAAAAACGAGAGATCAGAGTTACGAAACGACCAGCACAAGCTCAAGTCAAGTAGACAACCAGTCATCTGCCAACGAGCTGATGCCAGAGACTCAAGTAATTGACGCCTGTGTACAAAGCAGTCAACTATCTTTGAATCCGGACGATGTTCTCCAATCCGTGCTGGAAAAGTATCATAGCAATGAACCTCAAACATTCAAGAAAGTGAAGACTGATGCCAGTGATAAATACAGTTCATTAAATGGTTTCCCAACTTCTGAGGTTGTGACAGATTCCGGTGTCGTCTTCTCTGATGCAAACGTGCCTATGAAGAAGACCGCCAAGAAAACACAGCAAGAAGAAAAAAGAAAGAAACATTGTCGGCCAACAACGTCCGGGACATCCAGTGAACAAATTAAAGGAAAAAAGGATGTCAGCATTACCTCGCAACTGGATGATGAAATTGCTGAAGAACGCAAATCTTATGCTTGTGACTTGCAGGCTAAGGAAGAAGAGATTCATGCCATCAAGACAGAAAACGAGTCAGATTCCACTCCACCTGTTGGCATGGAAGAAAATGCTAAACAATCCCAAACTTTGGAACGTAATACCACGTCTAATGTCATCTCAAACACGAATCAAGAACTTGGTGTCACAGGAAAAGGCACATACATGTTTGACACAGTGACAGGTCTCAGAGTTTGGTTGACAAAAGGAGATATAACCAGTCAGCAAGATGACATTCTCCTCAGCCCTATCGACCCTTCACTTTCATTAAAAAGTGATTTTTTAAAACGGATATTTAGGAAAGGAGGCGAAGCAATCAAACAAGAATACCTACATAAGAAAGATTCCCATGCTCATCAACACGATCCAGTCATCACGGGTGGTGGTAACTTGCCCTGCCGAGCAATCGTGTTTGCCGTACTTCCACTGTGGAATAACGAAGTGCAGGACAAAAAGAAACGAAAGCAACAGATACATAGACACCTAAAGGAAGCTATAATACGTGCTTCAGCATGCGGGCACAAGTCAATGGCACTTCCTCTGTTACGACAAGACGGAAATGACATCCAGGATTCAGCAGAAATTATCGTTCGCGTTATTGCATCGTTCGGAAAGAATATTGATCCAATGCACAGTGGCATTAATGAATTCCGTATAGTTTGCAAGGATGAGGCATCTCTCGCTGTAGTTCTTAACGAATTCTCTTCATTTTCGTTTCACCCCGGACAGCTATTCTTTGTGAATCGTTCGTCGAGCATTAATAACCTTGTCCAAGCAGAGGAAACTGATATTACGTTAGCGTCCCAGAATTCTCAACGAAACAAACCTGAAATGCATGATTTATCCTCAGAGAAAGTAAGTTCTATGGATCCAGACAAGGAGGCGTCGTCACGAAATGAAACTTCCACTAACAAAACTACTGTGGATCACATAGACGAGCCCCAAGCTCCTTCTAAATCTTCAGAAGTGACAGTCGGAAAGGAGAAAGGTCCCCCTTTACCATCCATCTCTCCTTCCTGTCAAGTTGATAGCGCTTCACATCAGAACCATATCGACTGGGATACTAAGCATGAAGCTGAAGAGGACGGTAGCCCAAGTGACGTGAAGCATGGTAAAGAACTGACGATTGGCAATGTGCCAAGTAGCTGTGGAAGGTACACCACATCGCATGTTGCCTCAAATGGTAACCACCAACGTGTCATTATTACAGACACAGGCTTTCGAAAGTTTGATACAGTAACAGGTCTCAAAGTTGTTTTGGTCAAAGGAGATATAACCAGTCAGAAAGTTGATGTTCTCGTCAGCCCTATTGACTCTTCATTTTCTTTCAAAAGTGATCTTTTGAAACGGATTCTTGAGGAAGGTGGGCAAGCGATCAAGCGCGAATATCTAAGCATTAAAGGAACTAATGCCCCTTCACAAGATCCTGTCATCATTGGTGGTGGTGATTTGCCTTGCCGAGCTCTCCTGTTTGCCTTTCTTCCGCAGTGGAATAACGAAATTGAGGACAAACAGAAATGCAAAAAACAGATACATAGACGCCTAAAGGAAGCTATAATGCTTGCTTCAGGATACAGGCACAAGTCAGTTGCTCTTCCTCTATTAGGACAAGACTATAATGACATCCCAGTCGAAGTTTCCGCAGAAGTGATAGTCTGCGTCATTGCATCGTTTGGAAAAAGCCTAGGTCCAATGCATAGTGGTATTAATGAATTCCGTATAGTTTGCGAGGATGAGGCATCTTTTGCAGCAGTTGTTAACCAGATCTCTTCATTTTCATTTCCCTCCGGCGGACAGCCATTTTTCGTGAGTCGTCCGTCAAACAGTATTAACCTTGCACACGCGGAGGAAACTGCACGAAACGAGGCTTCAATAGACAAAATGTCCGTAACAAAAGTAATTTCTGTAAATCATGACCAGGAGGCGCTAAGAATAACTGAGTTTTGTCCTAAGGAAAACACCGTTGATCAGGTAGACGAGGTCCATGTAGTTTCACAAGCCTCCGCCTCTAAGTCTTCAGAAGTGACAGGTGAAAAAGAGGCAGTTCCCTCTGGTTATCCTTCGTCATTTATCCATTCTTCCCGTCAATGTCACAGCACTTCACATCCGAACCACGAATCTAAAGAGGATGGAACCCCAAACGACGAGAAACAAGTTAATGAGATGACGATTTGTCATGTTCCAAGTAGCTCTGTTGATTGCGTCGAGATCTCCGTGACACGAGCATCTGAGATACAGCAAGTGACTTCTGTTACTCAACGTGTTCAAGAGAAAATCAAAAGCATTACTCTTCAGGATCAGCCACACCTAGATTTTGTCGCAGACCACGCCCTGAATTTGAGGGAAAAGGAAATGAGTACAGGAATTAGTAAGATCGAGGAGATAACCGTGGGTACTGCAGTAACCCAGGAAGTGACAGTGGTTGATGGAGATCCTCAACTCAAGAGTTCTCTGCCGGGGAGAAGTCAAGGTGAAAGGACTCAAGAGACCGAAAACAATCGCAGTCTCAGCTCCACCAAATTTAAAGACAATATTACAGACGCGAAGATTCAAGCACTGGATGAAAACTCACAGGAAGAGTCTGCAAGTAGCTTCCATATTCAACCAAAAGTCACAAAAAAGAGCATGGTCCTTTATAAGAAGGTCAATCAAACTGAAGAGGGCAACAACTCGGGGGAGAAAAATCGTTCCAAGAAAGGGAAAACGGTATATACTCCATCGCGACCAATTCCTGGAAGAGGAGTTAAAGAATTGAAAGAAAAAGGAGATCTAGTTTGGAAAGACGAATGCTTTGAAAGAAAGAAGGGCGACCAAAAGCTGAATGGTGAAGTTCCTGACGGGGAGTTAAATGGTAATATATCTAAAGATAACAATGTTTTTTTTAATATGTAACAATATTTATTCAGCGCTTTCGTCTTCTAACACAGTCTTATCAAGCAGTGGTGTTATTTGTTGAATGCACCATATCTAAAACAATTACAGCAACTTAAGTACTTTACAGCTTACCTTTCAGTAACATTGGTTCTCAGTAGTGTACTTTACATCTTTGTCTTTTCAGAGCAACAAGTTACCATTCTTTGTGCCCTTTGCCAGGACTCAGTCGACCACCCAGAACTTACAGATCCAAACACTTGCATGAAGCACAAGTTTTGCGACGATTGTATCATCAAGGCTTTCACTTTCAGTAACATTTGTCCTGCCTGCTTGGATACAGTTGGCTTAATCACTAGCAAAAAACAGAAGGTTAGCCAAAACCAAGGTACGTTTTCCCCCAGTTCTCGGATAGCCCATCTCTCTCGTCGCCCTGCCGGCTTTTACATTCTCCTAAGAAAGCCTGCAGGACATTCTCTCAAAAGAACAGATTGAACCCGAAAAACGAGCACCTACGTTCAAATGTTTTTTTTGAAAGCTTAATTGTACGTTATCAGGAGACAATAAGCTAGCTCATTCCTCTTGGCGTTATATGATATTAGCTACATTAAGAATGAATTTGGCGACTTTTATGTCGATGTGTTCGCAAGTTGCTGATAGCCCCATAGCTTTATAAATCTACCCATGCTAGAAAATTTGGTAATCACGAGACCGTACACCGAGCGACCGAGCGACCGTCCGTCCGCACCACAGGCATTTCAATGTAAAATAACTCAATCAACAGGTATGGCAACCCAAATGCAACTCGAGGTTATTTTGGCAGGAAATTGCATCACCACCGGCGTCTTGTAAAGCAGAGACAACTTAAGAGTCAATAACGACGAAAACGGAAAGCGGAGATTGTTTCTGTATCCCGTGGTGTGTAAAGTATTAAGCTTAATAGATCAATTGTCATGTCCACAAATTTGGAATATAGAGCTGAAAGACAGGGAAAAAGAGAAAGTAGGCGGCAGGCCAGCGAAGCTCAACGAGAAAAAAAAAACAAAGGAGATACATTTTTTGTTGGAAGAACAACGTGAAAACTTTGTAGCGGCGGTGACAAAATGAGAAATGCTAGCGGCACCAATGCAAGGTGAAAATGAGCGGCAGTGAAAAAAAAAGTGAACGAGAACACGTACGACATTTCCTCAAAAAAACGTGTAACAAAGAAGTTTCTGGAAGTTTCACATTGTAGTCGTGCAAAACGACGGCAAAGAAATGTACAAAAAAAGTGTGCTGAACGTGCAAAGTTTCTTTTTTGCTAATTAGAACTATTGTTGGTTTTCACCGTTCTCCGGCGTTGCCTTCGCCGCTTAGCATTACACTATTCTATATTTTGTTTGGACAAACTTTAAATACTACCGACAGCTTCACTTGTAGTCTGGGCTAAAAGTTGTCCTCGTTTTTTTTTTAAATTTACTTTATACTCCTGTACTTTCTTATTTTCAATCTTCAGATCTGACTCATTCATCGATTAAAGGTTCAAGTTACCACCTCAACAAAGTTGATAAGCGCTGCTGGACAGGAACCGCAAACTCCTTTCCAGCAAATCAACCCCCGGGAGAAATTATTTGGAAAAAATACCAAACCAGTCTTCCTGGATTTGAAGGGCATGACACCATTGCCGTAAAGTTCACTTTCTATGATGGTGTCCAAGGTTTGGATCATCCCAATCCCGGGATGCCTTTCAAGGGGACACAATGTATAGCTTACCTACCAGAAACATCGGAGGGAAAGGAAGTTCTGAAACTGCTACGCAAAGCCTTTGCTGCCTGCCTTCTCTTTACTATCTCTTGTTCGTCCCCAGAAGGAATTGGAAATGTTTCAGTAAATGATATTGAGCTTAAGACGTCGTTGGAGAGACATTCAAGGTAATCAATCTTCGTCTACGGCAAATAGTAATAGTGAAATAAAAACTGAGCTTAAAAAGCTTATGCACCAGAAAAGATCTTTTAAGCTTGTGTGTTTTGTTTTCTCAATTCAGACCATGTGATATTCTCCAGGGAATTTGCCTTTTCTATTTTCATAAATTACGGATACAAACACACGTGAATGCACTTGTATAGGACGACAATTGAAAGAAACAGTTCTCCGGAGAATTTCTCCGGCTGGGGTACCACATACATGGTCTGAAATGGGAAAACAAAACGTACAAGCTAAAAAGGTCTATTGCAGATGTTTATATATACAAAAGGAAGTCGTGAATATGAAATACGTTGACGTAGCGGAAAATGATATCTTAATTTTTGATATACGCAGGCTGGGGATGTCGCACTATTGATTGGTCTAGCTTTCTTCCTTATTTGAAAGGCGTTCTTTGTTCGCCGGTTTAATTACTTCAATGGCACCGATGCCTTGTTGTTTTGCCTTAAACCGGTGACCAAAATATGTTATAGATTTTTCCCCATATTTAAAATGTTTCGTTCTTTTACCAGCTTTGAGTGCAAATGAAAGCACGCAAACGGGAAATAGGACGAATAGCTTTTAAGCTTCAGGAAACTGGAAAAAATGTACGCAGATAATGGTAATAAGCACTGACTGTCAATTGGTAATATAGAGCGGTTTTCATTTGAGTGTCGAAAAGTAATTGGTTTTGCACTTTCTACACGATGCGATTGGCTTAAAAGATTCGCGCCACCTTTCCATCCAATCAGAAGTAAAACCAAAGCCAATTGTGACGCGCTCGCATACATTTTCCCGCGCTTTGCGTCAGCCGCATGTAATTACTTCGAGTTTTGATTGGTTCAATGTATTGTCTGTGTCCTATGTGATTGGCCAGAGTAATTACTTTGGTTTTGGTTTTACGACACTCAAACGAAAACCACTCTAGTACGCGATAAAAAGAAGTTTCTAACTTGGTCATGTGTTTGTTTTAGGCCTCTACGTCAAGTCAATCAACAGAGCCCACAGTAAGTGATGTCGCGTTGTTTGTGCGCTGTATGCAACTAAGCGTCTTTAAAAACCAAAGAAAGAAATTATTTTGGCCAATCACAGCCTCCGCAGACAATGCAATGAACCAATCAGGGCTAATAGCTAGTACCTAACCTGCGTGGAGCGCGCGAAACGCCTTTAGGGAAGGTACGTTTTTTATTGGGGGGGGGGGGGGGGGGGGGGGCGG